TACATGAAGTTTGAAGCTAATGGAGTAATGCTCTATTCACAAGAGGCGTGTATAATTATTTTCCCAAGGAGAATCAATTGATTAGCAAACTTTAATGAAGCGCCAATCCAACAAGTTTACTTGCTTGACGAGAAATAATAATAAAATGGTTTCATTTTTTGTACGATGCATTTGCATTAAATGATTTTCCTATGGAAATCTAATCCCTTCAACAATTTAACATTTATAGCCAGATGCTGTTTACACCTTAAATTTATATAATCAAGCAAATAAAGTTACAAATTGATTATACGAAGTTCCCAATTAAAAAATTGTATGCTTTATTGAAAAAATTTTTTTTATGATTTTTTTTTATGTACATTTTTTTACATTTTAAATTTTATATATATATATAAATTTTTTTTTTATATTTTGTAATATATTTTTTTTTAAAAAAAAAAAAATGAAATTAAAATTGTATTATAATAATAAAAAAAAATAAAATAAAAACAATATTATATATTGCTTTAATATATACATACAATTAATAAATAAAAAAAAGTAAAAATAATAAAAAAAAAGTTGGAAATAATTTTTTTGTTTATACAGTATCTAACTATAAAAAGTGTATATATGTATATTATTTATAGATTTTTTATATTTTTTTACAAGAAAAATTTGTTTTTTTTTGGAGTAAAAAGAAAAGAAAATGATAAAATTTTAGGATGCTAAGAATATATTTTTATTTATATTTAAAAAAAAAGAAAGTATTATCTAAAAAAAAAAAAAAATTTTTAATTTATTATTAACGATGTTTAATTATAATTTTCAAGAATATAAATTTAATGATTATTTACCTAATATAATATTATTAGTATCATAATTCACAAGGAATTTAGACAGTTCCAATAACTTCGCGTTGTTGATTGGATTGTTTATTAGGTTGTTGATGTGGTTGTGGTTGTGGTTGATGGTTCGTTTCTTTGTTAACATCATCATCTAAGTTTATATTTGATAATTTTTGTTCGATGATAGAGGCGTCAATATTATTATTATTGATTTTATTATTAACAATAATCTCATTGTTGCCGAGTTCATTGACCACAATTTCTATTTCGTCATCGTAATAGTAGACACCGTCTTGATAATCTTGATCATCAATATATTCGTCCCAATTATCCGTCGTGTAAGAGTATTTATCAATTCCTTTAATTATTATTATTATTATATAAATAGTAATAATAATGGTAGTAATAATAATAATAAGTAATAAAAAAAAATTAAATAATTAAAAATCTATTAATTCAAAAATGATTAAACAAAAATAAATAATAAATAAATAAATAAATAATAAATAATAATAAAATATAAAATAAAATAATAATTTCAAAATCTTTGTTCTGTCAAAAAAAAAATGTATAGATTTTATATTTTATTATTAATTATTATTTATTTACGATAAGATAATTTTAAGTTTATTGAACATACCACGACCAGTATGAACATCCTCTAAAAATTTATGCAACATTGGCCATGCTTGAGGTTTCTTTTCATCAGTAATTTTTTGAATCTTTGATATAACAGTATCCCAAGGTAAATTTTGACGATTGTTTAATTGAAGTGTCTCAAGGATCTCAATATATAATTCATCATCACCAATAAGTGAATATGCTGTAGAAAGAACATCATCAGATAATCCTTTTTATTTTTGGAATAAAAAATTAAAAAATTAAGCAAGTTTGTTATATATATATATAAATAAACAAACACACAACCAAATTGATTACATGTGCCACACAAATATTCTAAATGTTTTTTTTACCTAGTTCATCACTTGCTTTCTGATCAGCAAAAACTTTTTCCATACGTTTCTTTGTAACTAAATCACACTCCTCGTTCAAAAATCTTTGTAAACCACCCCAAACTTGTTGATGACTAGCAGAAGCATTATCAAATTGCATAGCTCTCAAATACCCATCCATTAATCGTTTATCATGCTTAAGGGCAACTTCCACTTTTTCCAACATGTCCAAAGCATCACAAATTCTCATAAAAGTACTTTCAAAATCACTATTCTGTTCAATTTGTCTCATGATTGTTTGAAATTTGATGAAGAGATTTGGATCTACTGAACGTCTGAAAAACGGTAACACATTTTCTACTACTGCGTGCATTGGAGTAACAATTAGTGTACTAACAAAATCTGAAAAATCATTTTCGTCAGGTAATGAGTTTCTAAATGAACGAAAGAAACCGTAAATTGCATATGGAGTTGTTATATCAGTAGTCATTTTTTTTATATTAAAGAGGTTTTTTTTGTAGTCTGAATCTGAAAAAAGTAAATATATAAATATATATTATTAGGATGTATATATATATCGTTTATTATGTATATATATATATATAAATAATATAATAGTTTTATTGTTTATAATATGAATAATATTTATTACCTTTAATTAAAATTATTATTTATTTTGGGAAAAAAATTTAATGAAAACAAAAAATTTTTCACGGTAAATAAAATAAATACCTATTTATTTATAAATATAAGAAGTTTGTAGATCAAATGTGAATGAATAATCAAAAAAAAGTCTAAAAAATTTGTGAAACATACCATCGTTACCAAATTATTTCATTTTATTATGAAATCATTATTTATTCTCCCAAAAAAACTTAGCCATCTTTTATTATAATTTATAATATTATGCGAAATATAATAATATTAAATGTAAATAATGAATCCGAAAAAGAAAATTGAGTTTTATGAGCACTTAAAAACGAAAATCGCCGAAATCAACGAATAAGTAAATTGAATTGATCTTTATTTGGAAGAGTTGTAACCAACAAGAACAATGGAAATTCAAAGATTATTAATTTCCCATCTTATATATATTGTGAACGTTATTATTATTATTTATTATTAATATGTATGCATGTATTAAATGTATTGGCATTAAAAATATTTAGATATTGCCACGAAATTAATACTACTATTATTATACAAAGAAAGAAACAAGAAAAAATTTTCTTTGTTCCTTTAATTAATTTAATTATTTAATTATTTCTAAAAATTAAAAAAAATTTTAAAAAATTTTTTTCATTGTTTCTATAAAGTCAACGCACTATTCTTTATTTGGTAACCTTATTGTTTTCTAACAAAATAACGTGCGAGATTCACTATAGATACTGGAATATCTGGATTTTTTTTAAAAGACTCACATTACATCCTCATGTTAGTAGATGTTTTTATTTTTTAAAGTTGAATTTCTGTTTAAAATTGTTTTATGTATCAATCCAATTTTATTAAATCATTGTAATATTTGCGAGTGTAAAAGAGAGATTGTGCAAGCAAGGACCTGCACAAAAGCCCATCTTTATTTTATTTTAAAATTTTGAATAAAGTTGGTATATTGGAAATAGCACTGTAATAATAACCTTTACAGCAAAGTGAAGACATTATTCCATCACCTTCTGCATATTTCAATGGATCACCTGATCTAAAAGCGCTGGTTTTATACTTGTTAATTCCATTTGTAAATGACGCAAACCTATAGTTTGCTCCGAAAATACCATTTGCAAAACCGCCATTCGGTAATTCAAATATATATATATAATATACAAAATCCCAGATGTAAAAATAAAAAAAAATTTTTGGAAGGTTTGGTCATGGCACCATATTACCATAGATAAAGTAGCCTTCGAAACTAGTTTAGAAAGGAAATTACACTATACAACAAGGGTATCCATGGGATTTGAAGATATTGCGGAAAAATTGATACTATGGAATTGAAATTCCCAACTTGTCTATTTTTCTTGTCAATCTAGAGTTAAGTAATAAATAGCCCACAACTTAGGTAATATTCAGATCAACAATGAATATTTATGATGCAGTTAAAATTACTATATAAACTTCGGGATAATTATTATTTCTGAATGTTGATTTATTTATTTTTAAACTGTGTAGATGCGGAAAATAAAATGAGCCTAACTCCGAAACTATAATTTTGAATTAATAACGAACGCACTTTGTATCAATAAAAAATTCGTCACAAGAATTAGAAACCATACTGATACCATTTTATTTGAGATATTTTTCGTTAAAAAAATAATAGTTATAGTAATTACTTAAATGCTTTTTTTGGAGTTAGTATATATTAAATTAGGTTTGTTTCTATTTTCAGCCAATTATACTAATGCATACTAATTACATAATAGTAACCGCAAACAGTCTTATGACATGATCGGAAAATTCTATTGTATGCAAAATGTCAGCGCCTCATCATCATATTTAATATATTCGCATTAATACTAATTGGGGAAGTCACCAGTTTTAAATATCAAGTGCCACATACACATTTAACGTACAAGCTTTTTTAACCAATCATCTTTTGAATTCTCATTTCTATAGACAAGCCAAAGACCCAGTTTTATTTCTATAGTTTAAACGTAAAATTTTGTATAATTATTGAGGCTCAATTAAAAATTCTGACTCTTTGTTATTTACTTTCAATCATTGTGATTGGTCATTATAATTGCGTGATAAGATTTTCTTTTCAAAAGTACGATTTTAAACTTTAATTAAATTCATTAGTAAATTTAATCATACTTTATCATTAAACTTCAATATATATTTTTTATAATGAGCCATATTTTTAAAGAAAAAAACAAACTTACAAAATTAAGAGAAAACTTCTAGTGGTTTGCTTTGTGAAAAAAAATAATATGGAATTGATACTGAGATTGATGGATTAAATGAAAATATAAATGAATGCGTATGTACCTTTAAAATTGAATGATATAAAAGGATAATAGATCAATTAAATGATGAGATTCGTTGTTAGTATGATAGTGAAGATGAGAACTTGAAAGAACAAACAAGTTGAGAAATGTTGCATTAAATTAAGAATAGAGAAAATGCAAAGGACCATATATGATTGAAGAAATTTAAAAGAATAACATGATATGATAAATATTGTTCCAAATGGATCATTCACCAAAGATGCTTCAAAATTAGAAAAATGGTTTGGTCTATCAGCATCACATCTAAGGAAATCAGTCTTGATAATGATAGTATTAGATATGGCGATAATGTTGGAGATGATAATGCTGAAGATATCGAGAATGTTAAAGATGTTGAGTTAAATCAAAATTCTATATAACAAAAGTTAAAAAAGAGCAATTTTGAATCTTTAAAAAAGTTAGACAATAATGGAAAGGAAAGTTTTTCTTGATGAGCCAACATTGTATACAGAAAGAAAGAATGGGAAACTTGGATCACTTCCAGAATTATGTAAGAGGATAACCATTCGAATTATTGGTGATGAAGATATTGCAGAAAAGTGCAAAACCTCATAACAGCAAGATTTCACCCATGAAGTTTATCTTCTTTCAGAGGTTGGAGCTGCAAAATCAATACACACTATCAAGATGTTTTATTTTATGGGCATGAAAGGAAAGGTGTTGTAGATTACAGAAAAATATTTATGATGGTGATGCGAATTCTTATACTGCACGATAAAATCAAATTGGACGAAACAGCTTTAGAGATTAAATGGGAAACCAAAATTGTTTTATTCTCTATGAAATATATCTGAAAAAAAATAATGATAGTCATTTAAATGAGTCTCACGATTATTTTTTACATTAATATTAATAATAATAATAATAATAACTGTTTAATTCTTAGCCAGCTTAGCTGGCTGGATGTGAATCTTTTTCGTCAGCTGAAATCACTAATTGCAGTCCTCTTAAAAACACAGAGGTATGTTTTAATGATATTTCCATCAATAATAGAACGAGACCATTTAAAAAAGTCACTTGATGAATACTTAAAGTCACCACCGAAAAAACGAAGAATTTCATAAAAGAATATTTTAATTTGCAAATATTTGGATTATGTGTAATGTTTATTAATGACAATATTAGTAAACAAAAACTGTGATATTTTCTGAGCACACACCACATTTCCTTATTATGCGTAAGCACAACTTTAGTTTCTTTAGAAAAACTTTTTTCAGATCCAAGGAATCACATAAAAAGTAACACTCTAACAAAATATTTTAAAACTCGAGCCTTAGGAATAAAATAAAAGGTGCTATTTTTTCACTTTGTTCTGTTTTGTTCCATGATGACTTTTATGTAAAAGAAAAATCATCAATACTTCTTTGCAAATATAAAATTGAATAATATACGAAAAGAAATATCCATTGCCTTCATTGTATTACCAAAGAAGAGACTAAAAGAAAAGATGCAAATAGAATATTTGTAATAAGGCTTTCAGGTAAAAGTAAGTTGGAACCCCAAATTAATGCTGAAATAAAAAAAAGTTTGGATCAGAAACCTCTCGCTCAATCCAGCAATTAATCAAAGCTATTGGAAAACAACAGCAATGGATCACATAGTATTTGTGTGAGAAAATCAATAGAATTTGAAGGTAAGAGAGAAAACCTCGATAGTGGTAATTTCACAGTTCACTTTCCTTTAAAGAACATGAGTAGTCCACTGCAAAAGGAATTAACAAGTTGAAAAATGCACCTAATCCACACTTGGACAAATTACTCCAATTATCTAATATGGATAATTAAAAGTGAGAACGAGAATAAAATACAAGTTAGACAGACGTACAATTTTTTTAATATAAAAAAAGTACAAATTACTATATAAGGTTTTTATCATATGAACGAACATTTTAAATTAATTAATTATTATGCCAAGTCTGAACTTTCTCTAATATACCAGGTGAATAGATGGGTAGTTATAATCTTTCTATACCGGATGCTTTTATTCTGTAGATAATCTATTTCTGTTACAATCAAAAGTTAGGCAGCGAAAACATCCCATGTGCATAATCATTAAATAAACAATTTCGAGGGTGTTACCATGTTATTTTATTATTGATTGCGATTAAACATGGTAAACTCGTGCAACTTTATGGTTTAATGTTAATTATTACATGGTAAAAAAATCGTTTAGAGAAAGGTCTTGGCTTCAAAATTACGATGTTTTTTTCCATTTTTGGAGGAATTAATTTAAGGTTCAACATTAATATTAAATGATTTGCACCATCATAAGTGATTGTCAACTATTACTATGCTAAATTTTAATGAAATTACGTTTTTCGACCTTGATTGATGTAAAAATTACATCATAAAAATAAAAAATAACATGACATTTATTACAAATTGGTTTTTCCACCATCTAAAAGAAAAACATATAAATAAACAATTTACTTTATTATTTGTCGGAGAAAAATTCTTAATAATAAAAAAATAATAAAAAAGATGAATGTACTTCCACCAATAACTATCCCAACTTTTATTCAACCCATTGTTGAATCAGCGGTTGCTTGGTTTACAATAACATTTATTGCGATCCCAGCTTCTATTTTCTTTATGATTTGGGATTGTCCAAAATCTATTTGGCGATTTTTCTTTAATGATTATCCTAAAGTTATTCTTATTACTGGTGCAAAGTAAGAATAATAAAAAATAAATGACTTTTTTTTAATATTAACGTTGCATTTTATTAATTGGTAATTTATTTTTTTCTTTCCGATAAAAAATGATCAATAGTTCTGGTATAGGGGCAGAACTCGTGCTCGCTTATGCGAGAAAAAACACTACCATTGGACTTATTGCTCGCGATAAAGGTTTATAATTATATAATTATATATATATATATAATATATATTCTAAATAATTGAATTTATTCTTGACTATTCTTGCTTCTATATAACTCTAGACCGTTTGGATGCTGTGTCAAAAGCTTGCCATAAACAAGGTGCAACTACTCGAATTATACAATGTGATATTACCAATATGGAAGATTTAAGTAGATGTATTGATAAATTTGATAATGAAAATCCAATTGAATTGTTAATTGCTAATGCAGGTATATGAGCAACCTTTTTTTTTTTTAATAAAAAAAAAATTCTTTGATTAAATCAATTTTTAATATATAATAATATTTTGATAGCTCAATCTGGTGCAACTATTGATCATGTGGAGGATTCATGGAGACGAGCTCTTGAGGTGAACATTACGGGTACATTAGCAACAGTTGTCTTAGCTTATAAAAAAATGCGCGAGAGAAAAAAGGGACAAATTGCAAGTAAGATATTTATTCATAATAATAATAATAATAATAAAAATACTTTATTTACAAAGTTCGTTCAAAAAAAATTTTTTTTTTTTATAAAGTTACCGCATCGCTTGCCGGACATTTTTCCGTGCCACAAATGATCTTTTACAATGCAACCAAAGCATCTTTGATTTCCTTCGCACGCGATCTTCGTTATTTGGCAGCACAGCATAATGTAAAAATTAATGTTATCTGCCCGGGATTTATTGATACACGATTGACCAATGAACCAGGACAACCAATAACTCCCGTTCCGAAAATTTTCAAAGCATCACCTGGTTCATTGGCTAAAGTCATTCAATGGCAATTGTTAGAAAATCATGCTGAAATTACTTGGCCTTTCTTTGAATATTTACCAACTTATGCAACTTATATTTTGCCACCAAGAATTATGGAAGTGGCTACTTACATGGCTGGTAAATTCAATGGTTTTGTTACTGGTACTGGTGATATTGCTTGGACTTAAAAAAAAAATAAAATTTTGGAAAAATAAATACATCAATGACTTGTAAATTTTTCTTTATAATGTAAAAATATTAAATAAAATAATATGTATCGTCAAAATATATATGTAGTTACTTGAAAAGCATAATTAAACGTATCCGTTTCATCTAAAGAACCAATTCAATTCAATTCAAATAACATACTATCTGTACAAATTTATGCAATTCTAATAATGTTATCAATGAATTCAAATTCTCATCAAGCGTTTTGGATATAATTCTTGTGACTCCTATAACTAAATTTCAATGTCATACACATGTATTGTCATCAACGTTCACGAAATTATGGAAAATTATCGTCATTAATTTATTGAGAATCGTCGGTAAGTTTGATAATGAAGCAATGAAGCAAAGGCCGAATGGTTAGTGAAGAATAATGTAACTGCTTATATCATTTCCTTTTCTGCTACTGTTAAAGTTTTATTCGTAAAAGCACTACTATTTCGATTCTTTGATCATCTTATTGTGAAGGATTGCCCAATGCTAAAGTAGAAACGTCTTTTTCATCAGTATATTGATGTTTTATTATCCTAGGAATCGGGCAAGCACCAATATATTCATCAATTTGATTTTAATTTTCCATACGAGTCTGGCACACCCTTCGCAAGATTTAGGTTTTTCCACAAAATCAATTGGCTTTAATAATGCGTTTAGAGTAACGAAATACTTTTCCAAGTTCTAATTAACATTAATACGCATAGCCTTCAAACAGTCAAAGCAAATTGCAGTATTATTCTTTAATAGATTCAGCTTATAATAGGAAATTTCTTCCTTGAGAGAAGTGCAAACACGTATTGCCCATGCGGTAATAGTTGAGTCACATATACCAAGGGATATACATAATCGTTCTTGAGTATTAGAAACACAATACCTACCGATACCTCTGAACTTTCTCGAGAATATCATTACGTTTTTGAGATATAATTATCAATTTTCAGTTGAATAAGCATTCTTGCATTTTTTGAAATCATGCCTTCTTTTTTTCAAAGCTCATGTGTCAGAAACTAATAAATAAATGAAAAACTTATTTTTAGCAAAACACAGAGAAGAAATATATAAAAAAATTCCTACGCTATTGAATGAATTTGTAAGGCAAACTTTTTTAAATACAAGAAGCCAAACTACAGCTCACACAATATCTCTTCATAGCATTATCACTAATCATAGTTGACTTTTCCCAATCACCGCATAAAGTCCTAATTTCTCTATTAGCAGCGGCAAAAAATCTAACACGACAAGTAATTTCAAAATTCCTTCTGATTCATTGAAAAGAAGACACTTGTTCATATAGCTCTATGCTCAAGTCTTCACATTTACCACATTTATTAATAAAGCCTTCAAATATTTGAACTTTCCCCTTGAAATTTGGCTCGCTATATACTATCGTGGATTTGTAAGGCGTTCAAAGTAATTGACAATAAAATCAATATTCTACTATATCATATTATTGTCAATTTATATATCACTTTGAATTTTTTATTTGCCATATGCAATTTCTTTGAAAATAATCATAATAATTTTCCCATTATTATTTTACCTTTAGGAGTAACAATATTATCAATCATCATCCCGAGAGTTAGTATTTATAATATTGCAGTCTTTGGTTTTTTTCAATGATAACCCTGATTTCTGTCGTGTTAGAGAGTAAACTCATCTAAAAATTAGTCAAACGAAATTCAGATGAAACGAGGTGACAAAAGTACAAAGGATAAAAATTGGCCATGTCTTTTTTGTATCGATAAAAAAATTAAAAATCTTTATTAAGGATAAAGTTAATCGCAACTAGCGATTGGACCCGTCTAAAAAAACCTCACCCGGGTGACCCGCGAGCTTACTCGACGGGTCAACTGGGTAGTAAACAGATCTTTCTGTATATAGGATATTCCTTGCATTAAATGATAAAATAATTCTATTTTTTTTATTAATTCCAAACTTTACAATATAAACTATTTCTTTTTACAAATAATAACTGATTTACTACTTCATGTCCTAAACGTGTTCTTTTAGAGGTAACTAAATCCCCTGCATCAGAAAAAAGACATTCACATGAAACGGAAGTGGCGGGTATTGATAAATATTTGCGTGCAATTCTACTAAAAATAGGAAAAGAATTTCGATGGTTATTCCACCATTGATAAACATCAATTCCTTCAGGTTGTGTTGGAGTTATCATTTCATTTAAATAATTATCTATTTCAATCTCATGGTTCACTTCTCTTTGGCTATGACAAAATACTTTTTTCATAAAGGAAGGTGTGGATGAAGAAGGGATTCCTTCTAAAAAATCATCATTTGCAACTTTGATTTGCCAAGTATTGAATTCGGTACATAGTTTTTTTGATTGCTTGTTCTCTTGTTTCATTTGACCATACTTCCATTAATTTCAATTTTGGGTCTAATAAAGTAGTCATTAGTCCAATCTTTTCCGAATCACTCCAATAATTCCGGAGCAAGTTATAAATGATTCCCTTAACTTTGGAAATTATTTGTTGAAAAGATTGAGCTTTTAATTGTTTTATGTTTCTTGAGTCATCTCCAGAGCTTTCATCACCAGATGAAATTTCATCTAAAAAATTAATTCTTTTAAAAAACAAAATAATTCTAACAATATTGTTGATCGAATCACTATTTATAAAAATGTAAAAAAAATTGTATAAATCAGACGTCCCATTGTGTTACATTCATTTTTTTCCGCCCGGGTGGTAATTTTCATGATTCAATCTCTAATAAAGCACAAAATCAAATAAAGAAGTTAATTATTCATGTGAGCAGAAATTTAGCATTACCAGACGATATAAGATTTTAATGATGTTGAATTCTTTTGGGATTGTCTTTATCAATCATTCCAAGCCAATAAAAAGGTTATAGTGGGAAAAAAGGATTCTTTCGATAATATTTTCTTATTTTATAACAATGCTTTTTCGCTGGAAATATTAACAAGAGTTGCACAAAAGATGTTAATTGAAAGTGGAAGGGAAAATTGACAGTTACGTGAAAATATATTATTTATAATAATAACGTAACATATTTTTCCGTATCATTTTTTTTATATTAATATTAATATATAATTTTTTTCGTATTCATGTCATATGAAATTTAAGTTTCCTGATTTGTTAACAACTGACCTTTGTAGATATATTTCGGGGCCCTGATTTATTTATAATCTACAGTTTGTCACACAGGAATCAGCTAATACACGTTCGATTACACAAAAACGCCATTGTTAATATTTAATTATTAATTTGTTAAATAAGTACGACAAAATAATATAATAATATAATAAATAACAATGATAATGTTTACTATTGTAAACATTAGCATGAAAATTATTCATTGGGATAAAAAATCGTGGCGCGAAACAATGTTTCATGTATGATGGATGCATGTCTCATGATTGTATATTGGCAAACCATGTGATAACGTGAATATCTGGGAACATCCAATAACTAAACATTAAATTTTCATTATTGTTTTGTATCTTCTAACACAAGGTTCTATACCTTGTAATTCTAAAATATTAATAAATTTCTGCAATATTCTTTAAAGCATAGTTAGTAAACTTATTTTGTCATGTAACTGGAACTTCTACAATATTTACGATTTATTTTACATTACATACATATCTTATTGGATCATAAATGTAAAGAACACATTATTTGTAATCACCTAAAATATTTAATTTACATTTTGCCCAAAATTAATTCAAGTCCCACCCTATAGAGAAGTTAATAAATTAATTGTTGTCCACAATTAATCGATTTATCCTGACCCGAATCCGAAGTCGATTATAAATATTTTAAAATTATTCTATTTCTCTATTTAACATTTAGGTACTTGCAGACATGATTCATCTGGGTTCGAATATTTAAGATGCAGCAGAGGTACTTGCGCACGTATTCATATTTATTTTCTGCGGGGAGTCTCCTATCAAAATTTTATAGTTGAGGGTTATAGATTTATTTTGATTTATTTACTATTTGTCATACCGATAGTAGAGTCAAAGTTATTGGAACTTGTATATATATATATATATATATATATATATATATATATATTTACACGCGTCATCAATCACAAGCATTTAATATTAAATTATTTGCCGGCGACTGCACAAGTCGAATTTGTTATATTTATAGGAATAAATACAATAAATACTTTGCTATTCAAACATTCCCGAGGCGTAATTAACTTAGCCGTTAGTGACGCATTCTTCGCGAATAATAGTAATAATAATAATTATAAATTTCACGATTTACTATTCAGATAACTTTGCAAATTCGATTCAAAATGTTGTTGATCAATCTTATAGATATATAATGTGTATGTATGTTGGCTTATATGTATATGAAAAAGAAGAATAAAATCAAGAAATATAATGGCACTAATGAATATGAAAAAACAATTGATTTTTTTAAAATAAGTTGTGGATAAATTTTCAGAATTCCAAGACATGTTTTTGATGGTCATTCTTCTTGGAAAATTCATTCAAAGATAATCTTCAAAGCATCTGAATAAGCATCAGTTGATTTAAAAACATACGGAGCAATCTTTTCTTTTTTAAAATGCTTAGTATCAGTGTCTGATGTAAATATATTGGTAATACAATAAATTTTGGTCCCTGAAATATCTTTTACTATAAATAAAATGTTGAAAATCTCACATTGTCGCACAGACGCTGAATTTTTTTTAAAACACCACTTCTTTCTACATTAATATCACTCACTCTTTATCACTTTCAAATTATGTCTTCTTCAATTATAAGTACTTGGTATTCATTTACTGCCTGTTGCTTTCCTAGTCCAATCATTCAATTAAATAGAAGAGTTTTTAAAGTTATAAAATTATTAGGCGAAGGGTAAAAAAATTCAAGGATCAATCTATATTATTTTGTCAATTGGATTTCCAACTTAACAAAATATTTATTTATTTTTATCTGTAGAGGATTTTCGTTTGTTTATTTAGTAGAGGATACTAGTACACGCAAGTTATATGCGCTAAAGAAGATTAGATGTCCATTTGGAAGTGAGAATGTTAAAGATGCAATGAAAGAAGTTGAGATGTATAAATTATTTCAACATGAAAACATTATAAAAGTTGTCGTACGTGTACACCTACTTGCACATTTAATTAATTATTTTATTTCAAAAAATTTAAAAGTTAATATGTTTTTTTTTATAATTAGGATACTTGCATTGTTAAAGATAAGGATGGAAGTAGAATTGTGTATATATTTTTACCTTATTACAAAGTAAGCAACCATAACAATAATCAATTATATTAAATTTATTATTAAAAGTATTCACACTTAAAATTATCATAAACTAATAATTAGAATGGCAATTTACAAGATCTAATAAATAAAAATTTAACAAATGGAACAAGTTTTTCTGAAAAAGAAATATTAAAATTGTTTCGAGGAATTTGTTACGCAGTTCGTGCATTACACACTTATAAATTTCCAAGCGTTCCAGTGAGATCACAAAATAATATTGATAATACTAATGGCACTAATAGTAGTGATAATAATAATAATGCTAATTACGATCCTTTGACATCAGCTTTGCAAGAAAGCAATTACAATTACAATCGCAACAATAATAATTATCAACAAGAAGATCAATTAACAGATGATATTTTGCCATTCGCACATAGAGATATTAAACCTGGGTAACTAATCATTCTTATCTATTAAGAAGTAGCAACTAACATTCTTGTCACATATAAATAAATAATATTTTATTTATTTTAGGAATATTTTGTTATCTGATGATGACTTACCAATTTTGATGGATTTTGGATCTTTAGTTCGTGCGCGTATAAAAATAACCACTCGTTCCCAAGCATTATTACAAAAAGAATTGGCAGAACAACATTCTACTATGCCTTACAGAGCACCCGAATTATTTGACGTTAAAACAAATACCGAATTAAATGAAAAAGTTGATATTTGGGTAACTAATATTATTATCATCCAATATGATTTATTTGTTTATTTATGCAATTATTTACACTAATTAATTAATAATATATAGTCATTGGGATGTACACTTTATGCAATGGCATATGGTGAATCACCATTTGAAACTAGTATTAACGAAGGAGGTTCAATGGCATTGGCAGTCCTTGGCGCTAAATTCAAATTTCCTTCTGATTCAAATAAAGGGTAATTAACTAATTGATTAATTGATTGGTATATTTAATTTATAATAGTTATTAACATATATTAAATATTATTACCATTAGATATTCAGAAGGATTGAAAAATTTAATTAACCAAATGTTGACTGTTGAACCAAATGATAGACCTGACATTCATAAGGTTTGTTTTATATTTAAAAAAAGAAACCTTTTTTTTTCTAGTAATTAACTTATTTGAGTTTTATTGTAGATAATTGAATTAGTTGATACGCTTCTCGAACAAGCTTAAAGGAATATACATACACACAATATATTATTAATTTTTTGTATTACCATCATCACCATTATTTATTATAATCATAAGTATATATTTATTATTTTATATATATATTATTCAATTAATTAATTAATTATATCATATTTTTGTATTTTAAATAATATTATATTAATATCTCATATTTATATTTATATTTATATTTATATATTTATATTTATATGTATATTATGTGATTATAAAGAAATTAAATAAAAACATTTTATTTTATTATATTATATAAGCCATGATACAACAAAGCCACAAAATTTAAGAGTCCAAACTTAGTGGTCAATAATTACCACGATAACAAATAACCCTTATTAATTAACTTCTTTATTTTATAAATATAACGATAGGAATGTGATACAAATGTGCATTATCCAGGCATTGATGACGTTAGGAAGCAATTAAAACAAAAGAGGTATTAACACTTACTGCCTTTGAGCAAAGGATCTAAATAAATAATGTGGCTTTAACTAATGAGGTTTGTAACAACGATGTTGGCGCAGAATATTAAGTGAAAATCCAATTAAATTTTAATACTATCGCTGCTCGTATGTATGTATCCTCTTTTCGCCATTTTCCATTTCTTTGTTACCATACTGTCCATTTTGGCGTTTACTTCTTTTCATCTACACTTTACTTTTAGAGAATTTAGAGAAACCACTATAGCTAGAATACCTATTTTAACATTCTGTTTTTAACATCAACTAATTTGTGGTATGTACCTTCTGGACCTTCTGGATGAAGAGAGCATGAACTTGAAGGCAATTTATTTATAATATAAATTGTCTTTTTGTATTTTTCGCCAAGGATGATTAGAAGAATCAGTTTAATTGGTCATTTTTTTTAAAAAAACCTCAGAATCGCTACAAATGTAAAAATTAATATAATTTCCCTGATACACGTAACAGACTTATGAAAAAATTTTCAAGGTGTTGGTTGACTTTTCACAGTAAGAATAACACTAGCTAATTATTGTAAATCGTTTCATTAGACACTCATAATTTCGTCAAACTGTCTCCAACAATAAATCGATAAAAACAATTCATATCAAAATAGTAATAACAATTATTACTATTTTTGAATTAGTATTGATATTGCAAGATCTGAAGCACTATTTAATTAAGTTTGTATTAAAATTGTTTTTCGCATTGCGTCAAAAAAATGATCAATTTGTTTAGATTTATCAAGAGAGTTTTACTATTATTATATATTTAATTTTGAGAAAAATATGTTCTGCCTATATATAATATCATGAATTTTAAAAAATAAAGATTTTAATGTTCCACGAATTTAATCATGTTGTATATAAAAACAAGCGACAGACAGAATTGTTGTTTCTAATAGAAATCTTTGCAGAAACCGAAAATATCGGTATTGAAAACCCTTTGTGGAACGGAAGGACACTAACCATTTTTTCGAGACAAATGTTTCAAAATCAGAATGTCGCACAAATGGATTATCATGAAAAATCTTCCCACAACACTCACAACAATACACACTCATACACACACACACACACACACAGCCCTTTAAGGGCTTGAATGTCAAAACATTTTTCTCACCATCCTTTAGTGTAAAAAAGGCTGAACCGACTGTTCACTCCGACGAAATGATGATGCAATGAAATCTCAGGGGGAGCACGGGAGCTCTGGGGTTTATTTATTGCATTGTTGTCAAGACACCT